GTGGTTCTCCAATCTGGCTGGATATCAGTATTACCTATAGTGGTGTTCTAAATACAGATTCCCAGGCTCCATCTGAGACTTACTGAATCCAAATCTCTGAGGGTAAAGCCCAGTAATTTGTATTTTTTAAAGCTTCCTGGGTAATTCTTATAAAGACAGCCAGATACTGCTAAGTTTATCAGCTGAACCATTGAACTAGATTATTTCTTAATATGAATGGAAGGGCAACGAGGCACTTGGCTGAAGCCATGATCTGGTCACAACACATTACAAGAAAGACATGAACTTTACTTCTCTATTTCCTAGTCTTTCCTAGTCCTTCCCCAAAAGTCACACTCCTAATCATGTAATGCCTACATTCAACAAACATACACACACATGCATATCCACATACACCAACTAAGAATATTCACTACTTTATAAAACTATTTTACAACATGAGATTAGTCATGATTCTCCCATGTTAAAAGAACGTATTAATGCCTGTTTCTTTTTTAAAGGAAGGAAGGAAGGAAAGGAGGAACAAAGATAGGAAACAGAAAGGTTTCAATTGTTTGAATCAAGTGTGAGGAAGGAATTTTGCACACTATCTCAATATACTATGACAGAATTATGTTAACCTGTATATCATATCAGCGTTTGCTCTTTATTCACCACCGCAAGGATTTTGAAAATGAGTCCACAGGTAGGTCAAAATACTCATTTAACAATAAAATTTGTTCATTGGTGTTAACACAGTTTATGTGTATGTTAAATTGGCTGGTTGTGAATTAGGTATCCTCATGTCAAGAGCTGTCCACAAAAAAACCATCGCTCAGATTAGATTATATTAAACTTTAATAATTCAATCTCTCATGCTTTGTGTTTTTAAGACTATATCTAATAAGGCATGCTTTCAGAAGCCTCTGAAATGACTTTTTTTTTTTTTTTTATAGTGGAAGGTCTCTAATAATAGAAACTACCAGACTACACTATGAGGGCTGGGTCTTGGATTTGAGTTTCTAGGTATTGTTGTCTGAAAAGTACCTGGTGCCCTCAAAGCCTATTTGGGGTCATGTATAAATAATTCCTAAGGAACATTCTGTGATGTTACATGAAGTGCTTGGAGTCAGATGGTATTTTGAAGAAAAGAGAGGATGAAGAAGTTGCAGATATGAGCAATGCCCCAGCAGACCTGAGAAGGGTTATGTTCACCTAGGAAGTACTCTGTTTCTCAGGCGTATCTGCTTGAAGCCGGCATCAGCAACTCTCTTTGTGGCCACGCCAAGTTTAGAGGCACAGAGACAATGGTGATGGGTGGGGCCAGGTTTGAGATGGTTTCTAGTGACAGCATGGAGTAAGAGAAGGTCTGGAATGGGCTACGTAGTGCTCAAAGTGCACTACAAGACAGAAGCCTATGGGTTCAAGTTTTAATTTCTCTGCTAACCATGCACACCACCTGCCCGTTGTTAAGTCAGAAACCCAACGAGCTCTCCATAAATACATTTAACAATGCTCATGATCTCGAGTTTCCTCTTCATCACAACTTCAAATATGCTATTTCAATCAGTAATAATATGATTCTGGACAAGATACAGAGTCTGCTGGTTTTCCAATCTCTCTGTGGCTTTGCCTTCTATATCTATCAATTTAATTTTGCTTTATTGCTGGAACTCTTTGGAGGAATTTATAAAATTAAAAGCCTCACTGCACCTGTGAATGCAGTTTTGTTTCCATTGCTGTTGTTCTGTTCTGCTTGGTTTCTCCTGGAAAGGCGCACACGTTCACAATGAAACACTGTGGTCCTGGCACCATCATCACTGGGCAAGAGGATGATGTGTGAGACCACGAGAGGTAACATTTGGAAAGCTAGACCCACAAACCCACTCTCAAGTCTCAGTCATCGCTGCCTTTCTAAGGGTCACAATAGGGCACAGCTCACTGGACTCCATAGGCACTAAAAGGAAACCCATAATAATCGAAAATACAGAAGAAGAGATGAATATAGAGGCATATGTTAGACAGTTGGGTTACCTGTTACCTAGAAGCTATTTCTTTTTCCCCTTGTCTATACCACATGCCACAGCCAAGAGACCCAAGTAAATGTGTTCCTGAGGCATTTTTATTTTTATTATGGCTAATGTTATCTATTTATTAAAGTTCACACAGCAGATCCTGTGCAGTATGTTTTGAGTACATATTGGGGGATTCTGGTTTTGTCAGATAACAGATTTATTTGTAAACAGTGACATTCTCTCCATCGAAATGATACTGATGACAATGTGAAGCTTTGGTATTGATGGCTGCTTATCAAGCATCTTCTTCAAAGTTGCTTCTTGAAAGAACATTACAACAGGGGAGCTATGGGCACCAAATTATTTTGAAAAGTGTTTCTTTTAGGGTTTAAATCCATTTCTTCCAATTTAATATCACTCCATTTCTAAGGTGGCATTAGATGCCTTTTAATCTGACACATTAAAATGCATGGTGTTCATAATGGTTTAATGTAAGTGAGAATACTGTATAGATATAGTCAAATGAAACATCAAATGGCACCACATTCTTACAGTCGTGATTCCTAATAGAGGGTTGTGGACTGGATTGTGTAGGACAAACTGCCATACAATAAAAATACAATGCTTTATCACAGCTTCTAAATTCTATGACTACAGGGAGACTGAAGAGACGTTTTATTCAACACCTTACAAACACATACAGCAACAGTGTAACTATAATAATCAACTGTACTAGGTTGGCAAAATGGCAGCAGACCAGACCATTGCCTCAGACACATTTAAATTATACTGTATGGAAACTACATCCTGTCTGTGGTACATAATAGATCTCTGGTATATTCTTCAAAGTGACATTTGTGACAGTGTAAATGGTTACTTCTTCTCTAAGTAAAATCATATACACTAATAAAGAGTTTATGATTCTTCTGACAAATTCAGAGTATGCACTATGTATAACTCTTCTCTGGGTCCCTATCACCAATTACTGGATAATGGGGTGCATTCCCAAGGATGGTTTTAAAATACACTTTCCATAGAAATTATTAAGTACAGAGACAATAACCATATACTTAGAATAGTTGCTTAGACAAATCCTTACAAAAAGCAGAGAAATAGACTGAACAATTCCTGGAAGTCCCCTCAGCCTTATGGTTAAAAAATACACTGTTTATCACCAAAATATTTATTGATTTAATATATCATATTAAGCTCAAAGTTACTGTTCAGAATAAAGATAAATAACTTCACTGAGCTTGGTTCTCTCCCCATGCTTAGTGCTACAAAGAGCTCATCCACACATCAGCATAGCTAAGGGATTTCCCAATCTCAGCATGAGAACTAAGATGCTCCTAGCCTGCTCTGTCCGCACTGGCTGTGACCCGCCCCTCCAGCTCCATTGAACAGTGGGCTAATCTCTCAGTCCCCTGAAGAGATTCCTTAGTGAGTGATTACTCCCATGGGAGTACCTTGTCCTCAGCCTACACAGCCTCCCTTAAGCACCCTGGCCTTCTGTTCCCTATATGGTAAAATAGACCTTGGCCCAGGGAAGAGGGGCACACAGAAGAGTTCAGACTGCTCAGGGCCTATGTCCTGTCTTCTCTGCATGAAGAGTGCTGGACTAGTGTCCTCATAAACCCCAGGGTGAAAACAGAGCTCAATAATTATAAAAGTGATCACGATTATAACAAATACTTTGCATATCTATAAATGTTTTCTGGTCACACACTTAGCGTACTTGTGTAAAAGCATTGATTAAGCCTCACAGACTACATTGGAAATTAGTTATACTCCTTAGCTGAGCATGTCTTGACCAAATAATAATGTGGCCAAAATCCCTGACCAGATAAATAACTATATTGAATTCAGCATACATTAGCTACCAATGAGTATACCTACTGGAGTAAGAAAATGGCCACTCCAAGGTTTCAAGGAAACAAATGCTTCCAGTTCATTAACCTCAATAGAAATTCAGGTTTTATATCTGATACAAATGTGAATACTCTGGAAATACTGTGCTCCTGATTTCAGGGTGAGTCTGAGATAATATTTCCATGCAGTGTTGATTAATGGGACCAGGTCTTCATTTTAGCAGAGAATGCAATGGAAACCTATCTGTAACTATGGTGATTACTAGATCTGAAGGTTAGACCTACTGTAGAGTTCATGAATATTATTCACTGAATTTAAAAGCCACATCAATCAAACTGCAGAAGAACATTTTTTTTTAATCTCAAAGTCATAAAATACAGATTCTTCCTTGCTTTGTGTTATGCAGGAAAAAACAACATTCTTGGCAAAATGTGGCAACTTTTTCTCACTAATGCCAATATCATCCAGGAATTTGCTCCCAAGAGTGGCCGTTATCCCTTAGGAAGAATCAATAGGGAAAGACGGTGGGGGAGTGAGTATTAACTTGTCATTTAGTAGGATGCAGTTTAGTATGTTGTAGAAACTATGTATATTTATAAGTGCTAAGTTGAAAAGTTCCAATGTAGCAAAACATTTCATTTTAACTGATACACTGTTAGAAGATGGCAGAAAGACCTTTCCTTAATTTTGGTTATAGATATAACTGCTACTAAGGAATTCCATTTTCTCTGGATTCCAAGCTACTCTAATTAAATCTAAAAGATATATTTAATAAGTAGACATACAATGTTTTCTCAACATCTGAAATCCTTGATTATTTCTATTCTCAGTCCAAGCACTAATCTCTCTAAATAAGCAAAACTATATTAGATTAATAGGTTAGAGTTACATAATATACCAACTATACAATAGCAGATTCTGGAAATCTAATAATGTGTGAAATGTAATTATCCAGAAGAAGAGACATGTATAAAAATAGGTAATATCCCTATAATATTTTGAGTTACAGTTCTTCCTGTTGGGAAGTTTACCACACTGCCATGATATATTTATGAAATGTCTGTTCAGGAAAAAAAAAAATTAGAAAATACTTCTTATCTACCAACTCACTAAATGTAGGAATATATAACCAAAACTGGCTTGCAAAAGTGGTGCAAATATATAGGGAAAGATTCCTGTATGTATGAGAAACAAAGAAACACAGACTCTATTTATTGGATAGTTTTGAGAAGGGGCCCATATTTGTAATTTTTATATATATATATGCATATATACAAATGAATGACCAAAAACACTCATATGGATGGACACACCTTATTTCCCCTGCCCTCCAGTTTTTTTGTTTTTTTTTTATTGACAGTCATCACCTACTTTTTTTTAGATTATTGCCTGACATAACATAGAAATTTCGCTGCTTGCTCTCAACAAAGCAGTGAAAGAGAAACAACCTCTTTCCACTCTCCTGTCATGACCCATGTTCTGGGCTTGTGCTTTTTGGAGGAAGGAGTCTGTGATCTGCAGTAGGTCTCAGAGGCTTGTCTCCCGGAGGAACATGGTGCCGATGTTGTAGGAAACCTTTCTTATCCTTGATGAAGAAAGAGAGGGCTTTGGCTGTTTTGGACCAGTCCTTACCTCCAGGAAATAGCAGATCCCAGGGATTTCTTTTGGAAAGTTGTCTGGAAGCTCTTCACGGGACCGAGGAATGAACGTGAAACTTTCTTCCCGTTTCAACAATCTAAGAAGAAAAGATAGATAATGTGAATCAAAGAGGTAGAGGAAATGCAAATGAAGGGACCGAAATTTTAAAGGGATGGAGAGCTCATGTTAACATCCCTATTTCCTTGTGTAGATATGGACTCCCTGGGAGTCAAAATACTAGGAAAGGTTATTTCTCAGCAAAGATTCCCTTCATGTTATAATAATAAAAAACAAAGCTGTTCCTGGCATTGCTTGAAAATATTTGTTCAAGTTAAAAAACTTTTTTCTAAATAGCACTACTTGAAAATATTTGTTCCAATTGTTTTTTTTCCCCTAAACAAAAGGCTAAAGAAACTTCATAATACAGGTTTTTACTCAAACATGTGGGATTTACCCCTTCGGTTTTTAAAATTTGCTCAAATTCTAGAGCACTTTTTAATGTTCTGTAGACTTTCAATAAGTTTTAAATGTATGCCCTGTGTGTCAAACAAATAAATTGAGTGTTTAGATTTGTAAACAACATTCTTGACTACAGAGTCTGTGATACCTACTCACTGATTTCTGGCAATACATATTTTCAAATCTCTCTAGCATTTATAGGTCCAACAGCTTGATTTTTCCTTCCTGTTGCTGTTGTTGGGTGTCATTGAGTTGATTCCGACTCATAGTGACCCAAATGACAGAGTAGAACTGCCCCATAGGGTTTTCTTGGCTGTAATCTTTATGGAAACAGATCAATCACCAGGTCCTTCTCCCATGGAGCCACTGCGTAAGTTCAAACCACCAACCTTTTGGTTAGCAGCTGAACACTTAACTGTTGCACAACCAGAGCTCCTTCCTCCTTCCTAGTCACACTTAAAGACTCTTCCAGAAGAGATTTATTCTTTAAGCTTATCTAGTTCCATGAAAGGTTCCGTTTGATACACATACCCAAAAATACAGCCCAACAATTCAATTTAATTCAACAACTCTTTTTTTATTTTTATTTTTATTGTTGTGCTTTGAGTGAAAGTTTACAATTCAAGTTAGTCTCTCATATAAAAATCTTTTCACACATTGTTATGTGACTAGTTGCTCTCTCTATACTGTGACAGCACACTCCTCCTTTCCACCTGGGATTTCCTGTGTCCATTCAACCAGCTCCTGACCCTCTCTGCCTTCTCATCTCGCCTCTGGACAGGAGCTGCCCATTTAGTCTCATGTATCTACTTGAGCTAAGAAGCACACTCTCCATGAGTATCAGTTTAGGTCCCATAGTCTAGTCTAATCTTTGTCTGAAGAGTTGGCCTTGGGAATGGTTTTAGTTTTGCGCTAACAGAGAGAGTCTGGGGCCATGTCTTATGGGGTCCCTCCAGTCTCAGCCAAACCATTAAGTCTGGTCTTTTTACTAGAATTTGAGTTCTGCACCCTACTTTTCTCCTGCTCCATCAGGGACTCTCTGTTGCATTCCCTGTCAGGGTGGTCATTGGTGGTAGCCGGGCACCGTCTAGTTCTTCTGGTCTCAGGCTGATGGAGTCCCCGGTTTATGTGGCCCTTTTGTCTCTTGGACTAATATTTTCCTTGTGTCTTTGGTGTTCTTCATTCTGCTTTGCTCCAGGTGGGTTGGGACTAATTGATGCATCTTAGATGGCCGCTCAGTAGCTTTTAAGACCCCAGACACCACTCACCAAAGTGGGATGCAGAATGTTTTCTTAATAAACTTTGTTATGCCACTTGACCTAGGTGTCCCCTGAAACCATGGTCCCCAGACCCCTGCCCCTGCTAGTCTGTCCCTCAAAGTGTTTGGTTGTATTCAGGAAACTTCTTAGCTTTGGTTTAGTCCAGTTGTACTGACTTCCCCTGTGGTGTGTGCTGTCCTTCCCTTCACCTAAGATAATTCTTGTCTACTGTCTAGCTAGTGAATACCCTCTTCCTCCCCACCCTTCAACAACTCTTTATGATTGCTTTTCTTGGCCAAAAAATAAAACCTCCTAGACACTCTTGTGAATATAATGATAAGTAGAACACAGCCTGGGTCCCTGGGCGGTGCAAACAGGGTTGGTAACCAAAATGTTGCTAACCAAAATGTTCAATGTTTAAGTCCACTGAAAGGCAACCCAGAAGAAAGGCCTGGCAACCTATGTCTGAAAAACCAGCCATTGAGAAATCTATGGAGTACAGTTCTATTCTGATACACATGCAGGTGCCATGACTCAGAGTCAACTTGAAGGCAACTGGTAAAAGAACACTGTTTTGTTCATAGAAAAAATGAACCGGAAATAAAAGAAACAAAGAAAATAAACAAACAAAAATCAGAGTAGTAAAAAACAGAATTGGCTAGATGCCATAAGAGAGGTAGAAACAAAAAGTAGCAGAAGTCCAGAAGAGGAAAAATTTTGTGGTTGGGAGAACCACAAAGTCATTATAGATAAGACATTATTTAAAGATGGGCAGTATTTCAACAGGTTGATACAGAGAACAATAAAATCAAAGGATTAGAAAAACAAGAAAATTGTGAGTGGGATCAACAAGTTCCCAAACAGTTGATTGCATTACAGAATGAGAGTTAAGACTGGAGCAGTAGGTTAGGCCACATTTTTTAAAGACTAGGAGTTGAGACTTTATTTGGAAGGCACTGCAGAGTCAAAGTCATCATCTTTTCCCCCCAAACAACTCATCTTTCTAAGTTGGGTTAACGTTAGTAGCAGCTCCAAGGTACGCAGTCCGAACCATGGGCTTCATCTCCAAGTCCCGTTCAGATCTGAAACTGAGGAGTGAGTTTGGAACTGAAGACTCAGATATGGAATTTCTTTGCACAGAGGTAACAGATAAAATAGATGTAGATGAGGGAGAATATAGAGAAAGAGGAGTAAAGAGAAGATGGCAAAACTATGAGCAGGAGATCGGAGGGGAGAAAGGAAGTTTTGTAAGAGGGAGAAGGTAAAGTCAAGAAAGTTACGAGTGCACCTCTACAACAAAAAGACAAACAATCCTATTAAAAAATGGGCAAAGGAAATGAACAGACACTTCACCAAAGAAGACATTCAAATGGCCAACAGACACA